TTCCGGGTAATCGGAATGATACGCGCCTTATCCAGTTTATGCTAGTATGTAACAAACAATGAAAACATGACTCTGCGACTTGCCGTCACGTTCACATCATCGTATTAGCCATATTTGTCACGTTGCAACGGATTTCTTCAACAGTGGGCAAGCAAGGAGGCCAACAGATATCAAGCATATAGATGTGCAGCAGTCAGGCACTTCATCACACAATCCTGAGAACTGCAGCTACGCATGTAATAAGCTGCGCTCTTGTAAATTTCCTCCATTATTGAAATGCCCGCACAAAATGCACATGTTATAGTCTCATACACTTTTTTGTGCCTCTTTTTAATTGGACACATGTTTGAAAGTGGATGGCGGGACGAAATAGTAGCCTAGATTTATTCTCAGCAAGGTGACATTTTCCGTACAAATAAAGAAGACATGAATAAAACATGCAACAAAGCTATCGCTTGCCATGACACAGCAGTTTTGTTGTTTTCTGGGCGTCATCGATAAGGCTTGGCACTGAAGCGCAGCTGGTTTTCTCTCAATGTCTGCGATTTTGATGCTCTGGTTTGTCGAAAATTTCAGGATCACATTGCTCCTGAAAATAGCCGGAAGGCGTCTTCCTCACTCTTACCTTATTCATGTTGCTACATTAATGGTCTGTTGAGATCACCTTTGGAAAGATATAATTGACATTGGCTTAACTGCGGATCGGCAAGATGATCTTTGATAACGGTGGGGATTCGAACAAGAGGTGTGTGGGAAAAGAGCGTTGTCGCCGAAAAAAAGACGCGTCGATGCTGCTGACGGTCCGCTGAGCAAAATAGAGAGCGGGAACAGGGGCAGAGCGCCGAACGCAGGCGCCGAGCCGCCCGCAACGCCCCGCTGTTGATGGGGAGTGTTGGAAGACGAGGGGCGGGGGGGGGGGCTTCCAAAACGACCAAAGCGAAGAAAAATGAATCATTTCTCAACCTTGAGGATAGTCAACACCGAGACCCAAAAAGCGGAGTCTGGCGAGCTTTTGGAATTCATGGCTCTTATAAACGTGCAGCGAAGAGATGCGACGAAAAAGTCGGACGAAATGCAGCAAGTGTCGAGAAGCCAATAAAATGTATTTTCAGTCCCGCTGGGAAACGTCATACACTTAACGCAGTTCCCAAGCCAAGCCTCTGCTGCACTCCACTCTTGATAACAGTCGGGCTCGTAAAACAGCTCCTCCTTCTCCTTATCCGCTTGAAAAGCGTTCAGGCCTTTCGCTCTAGAGATCTCTGGCAAAAAACCATGTGCAGTTTTTAGTTGGCGGCTCTTCCTGGCCATTTACATGGTCGTTTTGAAAAAAATCATCTGTCCGATCCTGCGACAGATGCGGAAATGCAAGGATGAAGAGCTGTCTTCTGTAGTCGGTGCTGTGATGAAAATCATCCTTTGGCTCTTCCAGCATCTGACCGTATCTGAAATGCAACAAATATACAATCATTAGTCTGTGGCTCAGTCAATAATCTCAACTCGCTAGAAAAATTGACATTGATTTACAGGAATTGAAATTAAGTTGGAGGAAAAATGAACAACTTATGAAAGCATTTGGAACTATTCACCTCGCCAAACCGCCACTTTCAGGCATTTTTTGTTTCTTTGCTAGCTCGCCTCCTGGTATTGAAATCTGTGCATTTAACGAGGTTTAGAATTTACGCTTTAGTGGTCGTGGTGCCCTTTTGAGCTTTTCAGCTCTCTCTTACCATCTCTGTGCTTCGGTAAGGACATCTGGGGATAACAAGATAATTGAGCGCAAGTATAGACCCACGAAAATGTTCTAACCATGCAATAATGGGCGTTTCAAAACAGTACTCACACATGGTGGTGAGTGCTATTTTGAAAAGGGCAAAAACGCGGAATTAACTCACTGTTTTCAGTATGAACGTACAGCATGCTTACGAGCATATGATCTTGCTACGTCAAGCATGACTTCATCCACGAAAGATATTGGGCTGCACTCTGCTAAGCATCACCAAATATTGCCGTTACGGTGCTTTAATTGCAAAGCCAGCTGTTCTTCATATATATGAAATATTATCTAAGGCAGCATGAATTGTTGATAGCATAGCAGCGTGCAAAAATGACACATACGTAATTATTCACTAAGCTTTGTGATGCGTTAGGAGCTACGAACTTGAGACGTTATTATACATCAGAGTTCATACTTTGGAGGTTATGACACATTGGTGGTTGTGATGCATTATGCGTTTCGAGCATCGCGTGAGATGAGGCATTAGTAGGTACGAACATTAGGTTTTGCCATTATCCCCCAACGCTGAGCCTCGGCCGCGCGGGGCCACCCTTGTTTCTACTCCGACACGTAAGATGACGACACTTTGCCTTCAAAAGTATTTGTTTTCGCGGTGTAAAAAATGGGCTGAAAAAACAGCTCATTAACCGGTGGTTTGGCCCATTCTATCCCGACACTTTTGTACACCTGTATGACAAAAATACGGTCAAGCGATACATGTTCTCACCTAGTGTCATGCTTGACGACAATGGCTTTTGTTTCAGCAATATTATTTCATATTTCATAAATATATTTCAGCCCTCACACATACCACAACTGAGTACGCTTTCAGCTATCACGACAGCACCCACGAATGCCTAGCTTCGTAACGAATATGCAGCACTTTTTAAGGAAGGACATATTTCATTTCCACTTGGGATGCGAAAATCAAGGTATCTTATTTCTGCATTCAACAAAATAACGTTGTAAATATCCAGAAGGTCGAATTAGGTTACCTGACCTTTAGTAACGCTGCCATAGTTTTAAAAATTACATGAAGAAAAAATTGGGAATAGCAAGAAGTGCATTGTCGCATTGTAAGTTCGGCAGTATATAGTTTTGTACAATCAAAATAATTATTGATTGCTTTACAGGCTCTAAAAGGTGTCTTTGTGCGCTCATCTCTTAAAAGTGCTCTAGGCTCTAGCTCTTCGACCATAACGCTGATCAACATTTCACAGTTGGATTTCAGGCATAAGTCAACCCCGGGAAACCATTTTCTTCAAAATATAAAATATTGAGCCCTATGTCTCTGTCAATGTGTCGCATAATGCCATCCTACAGAGATTAGGTGGATGCAAGTCTGTTCAGGACGTTTGTGATTATCCAGAATCGGGATGTTGGCTCACTTGAACGTCAAAAGAAAGACGCAGATCGTCGGTCTTATCTGCAGAGGTTTGCGAAATGTTCGTTTTTCTCGATGAAAGGTTAAACCTCCGTCAATGCTGTATCGTTTCACGGCGTCGAAGTCATCATGGAGAGAAGGTTCAGTTACCAGATTAACGCACACAATGCGCATATGGCTACACACAAGTTAAGAAGTTGTTAGCCCTGAGTTACTGAGGTACTCAAACCAGGTTCGATATTCTGCATTTCCCACTGACGCTGCACTCAAATAATCTGGGTCTCCGTCACAAAACAGATATCGTTAATTATATCACATTGATTGTTTTTGTAACATATTTAGCGTAAACAGCTGGGACGTCTTCATTGGAAGAAGACAGCTCTGTTGGATGCACGACATTTGGACGTTGACATCTTTGCTTTTAAGTCCCCGGTGCGTTTGTCAAATATCATTGTCTCATTAATTTTGGCGTGTTGTCCCAGGGACGAAGCTGACAAACTTGAAATCTTAAACGATTTCTGCAATAAAAGACAAGTTAGAACATCCCGAAATTATTGATGCCTGCACGATGAGGCCATGACGAGTGTCGAATGTGGTCACGGTACATTGCACCACACACACTGCACACGGTACATTTGTCTACACCGTGGATCTGGTTTGACGCACCCTAATGTACTCTGATTGCTGATATTTGAAATCAGCCGTAACAAAAAATCCTTATAGCGAGAAACTTCATGCGAAATGCATGACGATGTATGAACGCCTGCATACGACTGAACCCCTTATCTTTGTAGTTATCTGTATCCTCCCTGTCCCAATGACGCGTAAGTCTTGTTTCGCTGCGAGGCTCGTCGCCAATGTCTGGACCTGGGTATCTCGTATTCCAGAGCTTTTTCACGATTGAAAGCTTGTACGTTTCCCTCCAATACAAATCAGATGTGAAGAAGGCATAGGGTTAATGTTGTAACGTTGCAGAAATGCGTCAACTGATCCATCCTACAGTCTGCATGACAGCGTTTTGACAATATCGGCCCAGCACCTACATGAGGGTGCTGCCCGTTGTGGCAAGCTTGGGTGAAGAGCTTGATTGGTGGTACATGTATATAAAACCGGTAGAAGGAATAAAGAGCACAAACGTAAGTATAAAACCGTAACTGGCCGGGCCGAGCATGACCAGACCACTGGAGCCACACCATTCCTGGTTAGTTGCCGTTAACACACGTGCAGCCTACCCCCCCCCCCCCCCTCCCTCCCCCTCGTAATTACATATTAATTGTTCATAAACCCAAATATTCAGACAGCCACCAGTCTGCCGTGTCTCGACGGAGAATGATCCTCGATCGCAGAGAGCACGTCACCAGCGTCGGTGATACAAGAACATGCTAAACCTTTGTGAAACGACGTCTTATGCTGGCTCATTCCGTCAAGCTACTTAGTACATACGTTGATAGCGCTACAATTCAAATTGCAAGATAACCAAATGGGAAGTTTACATCGGTTGCACCAGGCTTATGCGAGCCATACAATGCAGTGTTGCAGCTGAGGCACCAACGCTCCATTGAACTGTGCGTAGCGTACTGACTCATTTTATTTCAAGGCTAAACAGCAGTGAATTTCATATTTAGATGAAGCTGCTGGCTCTGGCTTGAGTTCTTATTCCTCAGAGAACTTGTTACAACTGTTTCTTTATTAGCCCAGCATGGACCTGTGAACTTAGACAATGCATACCGCAAGAACACTGCTACATTGGTAGTGTGAAACTCCACATAACCTTGTGCACACCCATACCATTCACATTGTGTCGTTGCGAGCTTAAAAAAGCAGACCACCTCTGATAGAAGTTCAACCGCCGTATTTCTGGCCGCGGCTGGAGCCGTAGCCCTGACCTCCGGTCGGGCCACGTCCCCTCTTGACGTTGCTGCGACCCTCCTCCTCGCCGTAGGCGTTGAAGAACTTGGCCTCACCCTCGTACTCAAGGTCGGCCACAAAGCCAGAGTCTCCCTCAACCGAGTAGGAGACGGTCTGGAGTCGGCCGTCGGGCAGCACGACGCTGTACTGGCCCTGCACCTCCTCACCGTTGGACTCCTCGGCCGCGCCAAAGTCGTTACCACGGACATCCAGCACGTCGTAGCTGAACGAGTAGGGCGTTGGAGGCTCGGTCTGTCCATAGCCTCCGTTGGTCTGCTGGCTGTAACCTCCGTTGGACTGCTGGCTGTAGCCGCCGTTGGACTGCTGACCATAGCCTCCGTTGGACTGCTGACCGTAACCTCCGTTAGACTGCTGGCTGTAGCCTCCGTTGGACTGCTGACATGTAGCCTCCGTGGACTGCTGGCCATAGCCACCGCTGGATTGCTGGCCTAGCAGATAGCAGACCGTTGGGAATGTGCTGACGCGTAAGCAGGCTGCAGACTCGACTGAATCAGGGTTCCTGCGTGGTCTGCAAGGGCCTACCAGACGACGAAGACAGACGGATCCATACTGGGACTGGGCGCCAGAGGGAGCACCGTACTGGACTGGGCGCCAGAGGGAGCACCGTACTGGACTGGGCGCCAGAGGGAGCACCGTACTGGGACTGGGCGCCAGAGTTCCGCCTGTCCGCGGCGGCCAGAACGGCCAGAGCGGCTACAACGAGGAGCTTCATGTTAGCTGACTGGGCTGCTGGTGAGAACTGTACCGTTCAGCAGAGTCGCCGTGCTTTTATACGGCTTGGCTGACCACGCGCTCCTATTTGGTATTACCTGTTACATCATGCATGCCTGAGATTTAGCGACACCCAGGTCCTCCTTGATTGTACTTCATGCATGCCGATCACGTTCATATCGGCAGCGTGTTGTTTCACAATGTGAAAATGCAGCCACCTTAGTGTTGCCGGCGCCAGCTGGCGATAACGGCTGTACATCTAGACTAAGTGTGACCTCATTCCACCAATTGATAGATAAGTGTGCTTTACGTTTATCCCGGATTAACCATCCTGAGTCCATGCGGCTTCCAGCAGGCTTTACGTGTTTCAATCATGAATCACATTTGCGCTTCCTAACATAAGAATTTAGAGGTGAGTGCTAGTTAATGCCGACATATAACTTGTAATCGAATAACCTTATAATTGCACCATAACCGAGTACGTAAATACAAGTTAACATCTCAAAATCACGGATAAGTATGCAAGAACGTCACGAAAACAAGTCATACACGAGCACATAACGACATTTGGTTTAGCAGACACCTCCAGCACCGCCACGGTAACCTCGCGGGAGATTGAAGTACTACAAGTGAGTGCTAGGGTAGCAAGTTCACATGTTTAGTTTCGCAGCCCCTGAACGTTATGCGAACGCTCCATTACGGATTTGAACAGTGACGTATTGAGAAGCATATTCACTAAATATTGAAATTTTGTTCTGTGGAGCAGTTTTTTCTGCTTTAAAGTATATCAATAGTTATAAGGGAGCTTACCGTACGGTATATAATACTTCCTTCATTATCTTCAAATGTGAAACATTTGCTCTAACACGCACTCGCTTGCGGTGTCAATTTGACCCGGAAGGTTTTTCAGAATGGTTTCTTAACGATGCGGCGTAGCCGCACCAAATTTTGATATCTGTAGACAATTAAGAAATTAATCTTTTGGTGTCAAATATCTAGATGAACCTTGTAAGGTCGCTGACCTGCGGTAGGTCAAAATCAGCCCATGAACTCAGCGGCCAATTTCTAGGGAATCGTTTCATCTGATGCAACAACGGAGTTTTAGATCAAGCTATGCATCTCTGAGATACTTTCTTAGGCGACACAACAATTGAATGAACAGATTCCATCGAACTGGAGTCAGATCTATATGTCAGACTAAGGTCAAACCAACCTGTTGCGTTAGTCTGAGGCTTGCCGTATAGGGTAGTTTTTGGTGCTCACTTTGGAATTCACTGATGACAGAAACCGGACTACGCATCCTCCATGAACTTTTTAAAGTTCAGAATGGGTCACTGACCTATGACGATCAAAGTTGACGTTTTATTTTTAGGAGCGTACTGCCTAGCGTAATTGTTCTTATTGAAATACATAACTCAGAGCAGTCTAGTATGACTTTGATCACCATGACCTTCAAAAGGCCAAACCAGGTAACTGACCTTATGAGCATGCGACCCTTTGCTTAGAATAGGTAACAAGGTTCTTGGGTACTTTGTAGACCAGCTCGGAGTTTGCCCTTGTTTAACATTTTTCGACCCAAAGCTCATGACCAAGAAACTTCAAACTTTGGCCTATGTGAGTTTAAGCGCGGACCAACACATCTTGTGAGTTCGATGTCTCTAGCTCTCTTAGTTCCTGAGATCTTAGGGGTCACATCGGCCCCCACCAGAGCGAAGGGTATCCAACCGGCCACCGGGGCGCGTGTTAACCTTTAAAACATTTACATCAGCGCTCAGCTTAGGATGTTAGTCAGCATCTTAGCTTAGAACATTAGTTGGCATCCTAGCTTAGGATGTTAGTCGGCATCCTAGCTTAGGATGTTAGTCGGCATCCCAGCTTAGGGTATTAGTCAGTCGTCCGTCCCGGTGGCTCAGTTGGTTGGAACGCCTGCCTTCCGATCCGCCCACCCGTGGCGGGGTGGATTCGAGTCGCTTTAGGGCGCTCGCTATTTGTCCTTGACAGGTATGGTCTGCGGCCGGTGGCAGCGGTCGCGCTAAAGGTCAGTTGACGTCAGAGGGCAGGACGGACCATGCCGAGCATTGCGACACGTTAAGCCTTCGCAACAAAATTCTGTCGTTGACATGGAATTGCGCGATCGGGTGGCAGGGGCCAGGACACATATAACAAGGATTGCTTGGCGTGAGCTCTGATCCCAGAAATCTATCCGTTCAAAGGGTTCGGATCAAATCTTTAAAAAAATTACAAAAATCACATAGGCACAGGTCCGACAGAAGTTCTCCCTGGTTGAGGTTGAGGGAGGGGGCGATAGCTATTTTCGTTGCTTCTAACCAGTTAACACCCACTGGGCTAATGGTGACTTTGAAGAAAGTCAGGGCTCATCCTGCTGCCTAATAACCGCGCCCCCGTAAAGGCGTACTCTCTTCTCACGAAAATTAGTTGTAGCGGTTTGCTGGACATAAGCTAGCAAAGCTTATGGCCATGTTTGCCATCTAATTTTACCTATTCGGCTCGCTAATATACGCGCCTACCAGTAATGATCCACGTGTTACTGGTAAGATGGTGACCTGATGGTCAGGCTGTCTATCTCCAGCAGTCCGTGCGCGCACGTTTTCACTTGTCACTGTGATTACATTCCAAGCACCAGGCATACACACCTTTAGTTGGCTCATCGTCATGCTACCCATTACATTATAAGCATTTGGCTCACTAGTTTGTTGCGTCTATCCCTGCCAGTTGATGTAGCATCGGCAAGAGCGTGGTCCGATATCCCGGCCACCCATCTCTGCAGCAGTCCTCGCGTAGGGGTTTTCAACTTCCACGCCGGTATCATTGAGACGGTTGGGCGCATAAACTTGCAAAGCACATCACCATATTTGGCGTTAACATTCTATGGTGTTGTATTGTATTGTATTTTATTCTATACTATTCCATACTTTTCTATTCTATGTTGATATTCTATTCTATTAATATTCCATTCTATGTTAATATTATATTCCATATTCTATGCGGTTGCCTCGCTGGTCATATGCACCTGCCGCTAAAAGCTTGTTCATTATCGATTCAAAGAGAGCCCGACGTTCAGACCGTCCTATCTCGTATGATTTCCGTGTGTACGTTTTTGCTTCTCATGCCGTTGCATTCTACCTACTGTTTAGTAGCATGGGCTCGCAGAGCTCATCATCATACGCGCCATTGTGTATGCGTAATCGGCTCGCCAGTCACATGCACGTCCCGCTTACAGGTGGACGCAGGATATCCGATGTTCCGGCTGCCCCGCAGTGTCACGCCTCACGTCCAGCGGGGCTGCCCCGCAGTGTCACGCCTCACGTCCAGCGGGGCTGCCCCGCAGTGTCACGCCCCACGTCCAGCGGCCGCGCCGTATTGAGTCTCGGCCCCAATCACCTTACCACCCTGTACAAAGCCTGCGAAAACCCGACTTATGGCGAAGCCCATGCACGGCGTCCCGTGCGTGAACTCCTTTCCCTTCGCGGCGATCGCTCGCTCACGCTCCAGCGTGAGCGAGCGTGGCCGCGGCGGGTCATTAGCTGTCACCGCCAGCCAATCAGCGCCGAGAGGTGGTGTGACGTCGACGGCGACTGGCGGGAGGTCAAGGCAAGGACCTGGATGCACGGGGAAGGCGTGCATCTGCAGGCGGCGGACCCAGGGCAAGTGTGGACGCGTGAGACCTGCCAAGACGCTGTGGGGTCAAGGTTCACACGGACTTCAGAAATGATTGAGGGCTTTGGGCCTCACCGAAGTAATCACACGCGCTTTGTGCCGTTTTAAGCCATACGGTGATAGAGACACGGTCGTGATGTGCCTTTATTTCATCACGGTCTGTCCGGGCCAAGACTGGAACGCAATGTACTCCTTTGGATGATGAGCTTCAGGGTCAGAGCATTGCTGGCGGAAGGTGATAACTACCGACCTCGGGGACGTAAGAGGTGTTCGGGTATCGTCCTCGGCTGCTGTGTTTGTTTGGGTTAGTTTGTGACGTAAAACCTAGCGCGCCAGGCGAAGACGATAGTCGGAGTAATTTTCCAACCATGATACTAATACCTCGCCCCAATCCTCCCGTAAAACTCTCACTAACGACCTGTAACCTACACATATAGTGCAAACAGGCATATATTACATCATAAGTGGACAGGCTGTTTCAGACAAGGAAGACCGGACAAGCATGTCCCAGCACAGCCTGGAATGCTTCACCCAACGGCGACCACCTGGGAGTTGATTGCTGCTGTTTGCAAAACACTTTGATTCTGGAAAGTAAGCAAGTTGCTGATGGAGAACACTAAAAATATTACTTTTGAAACAGGAGATAGAAACCATCATCAAGCCGGCAGCAGAGCTCCGTCGGACGCGATCACTTCAGATGCGCCGACTTAACAACATGTTATACTCATCACAGCGATCCGTTTCCTCGCAAAAGCCGTGCCTCACAACGACTCGATGAATCGCCACCAGGAGAGAAAACATCATCCACGGTGACCACGTTCTGAGGTCGAGCGTGTTCAGCGGAGTCTAGGTCAAGGTTCTGGGATGTGGGATGGGATGGGATGTCTCAGCTGGCTGATGTGGGATGGTCGATTCTTGCCGCTGGGAGGGGAGTCCCAGCTAGCGGAGTTGACAGCACCTGGCTACGTTCTCTATATCAGCGTCCAGCCGTGGCCAGTATGTGATGTGCGCCCCGCCCTTTGTCCTCTCCTTCCTTCGCGTGCCCGTCGTGGAGGGCGGTGGGCACGGGTCGACAAAGAGTCGGCGGGATAACGGGTCTGCATACCACTGCCCACCAATAGCCCAATAGCCACCAAGAGCCACCACCATCCACAACTAGCCACTACTAGCCCAATAGCCACCACTAGCCATCACTAGCTCAAAAGCTACCACTCACCACCACTCGCAACCCTAGCCCAATAGCCACCACTAGCCACCACTCGCCACCACTAGCCCAGTAGGCACCACTAGCCACCGCTGGCCACCGCTCGTCCATTACTCGCG